TAGTATATGTAGTAGTGTTATATATGCAGAGATAGTAAATTGTAAATATCATAGTAGTAGTATTATTTGATATATTGTTGTATTTTTATTTAAACTATCTATTAGTGAATGTGGATGTTGTAAAATATTAGTGATAGACTACAGATTATATTTATAATTGTTGTAATTAAATATGTGTACTAGTTCCAAATAAATCTGTTATGTTTAGTCAAATTAGGAAGTTGGTAATATGATATTGTAACTGAATATCCTATATGTTTTTGATATTATATATATTATGGTTCAACATAGTGCTAGTTGGAGTAGTTAGTACAAGTTTGGATTTGTGTTTGGCAGTAGTAAGATATCTGGATAAAATTTTGTCACATATTTGTTAAGAAAGTACTATATTATGTATATGATATTTAATAATAAGAATGATGACATTATTGATTATATAGAAAACTTGTTTGTCTGTTATTTGTTTAGTTTGAACTATATTTGTTAAACTAAATGTTTCTTGTAGAATAAGTTTGATTATAATGATTTGTTTGTTAGTTGTAGTATATCAGCAACCAAGAAATTTTAGAGGTATGTTAAGTGGTTGAATTATAATAGTTAAGTTTAGAAAAATAAAAATGGGTATATGTTTTGTATTAGATATTAGATTGGATTTTTGAGGATTTACTTTAATGTTTGCTATTTGGTAAAATGTAGATGCCACATTAATAATATTTTGTAGTTGCTGTTAAGATTCTGCTAACTATAATGTATTATCCATATATGCTAATACAGAAGTATTTGTATAAGTTGTTTGGTACTTTGCAGGAAATAAAGAAGTTGGATATATAACTGTTGATATGTATTTTTTAAATTTTTTGTATATGTGGTTAATAAGAAGGTTATAGTAGATTCACTATAGCAAAGGAGTTATGATTTCTCCTTAATCAATGCCATCTTTTACTAGGTATAATGGTGTTAATTTAAAGTTTGTAATTACTTGATTGGAGCGTAGTTTAAGCAAATTAGTTATTGTGCAGATTATAGATTGTGGGAGTTTAATGCAATGTAGTAATTTTTCTAAAAAATTGATATTAACTGAATCATATACTTTGCTTATGTCTTGTGAAAGTAATCATATTGGTTTTTTATTGCTATTGACATCTTCAATAAAGTTGTTTAGAATATATAGAGGTGTATTGGTGCTATTATCAAGTAGTATAACATAATTGTAAAAACTGAGAATTGAATATAATGATAAGATAGTAAAGAGTTGATTGGTTAGAATTTTTGTATATAATTTTTTGGTATATTCAATTAGACTGATAAGTCAGGTATTGTTAAGGTTGTTATTAAAGTTGGGCTTTTTTGAAATAAGATATATTCTGCTATTTTCTACTGTTTAGGTATCATGTTAGTATTGAGGCATTTGTTAAATAGTTGGGTGATAGCCTGTAATATTGGTAAACTATAGTGTTTAAGCATTTCATAGCTTATATTTAGTGGTTTATAGGCTTTGTTGTTTGGGAGTTGTTGCATTATTTGTATTATTTCTTCTATAGAAATAGGCTTGAGTAGGAGGGCATACTAGTTGCAATTAATGGACTGTTTAGGTTGATATTCTTCTCTTCAATATTGATTAAATATCATAGTATTAATAGATTAGTGTGTTGAAAGTATTGTTGAACATGTTGGAGTATTTCAGTAGGATCAGTTATAACACTATTATCAGTTTTAATATTGTGAAAATGTACTGGATCTTTATGTCTATTAAAAATACTATTTATTATTTTGGTAGGTTGTATTATTAGTTGTTTATATCTGTTATTAATAGCTGTATTGATATGCTGTTTGAGGTTTTGAGTATTTTCAATACTATATGTATGAAAAAAAGCTTTTCATACTTGCTTAGCATTATCAATCCATTGTAGTAATAGTAAAGAGTTTTTAGATAGGTTTGAAATATCGAAGTTGTATTTGTGATTGATAGTATCAACATCAATTATAGTTTGTATAAGAATAATAAGATTTTGTTTAAATGAGTTTTTAACTCTAGAGATAATGTTTCTAATAAGTTTAAAGTCTTTGTGTAGAGCTATTGCTTTAGAGCTAAAGGTGTAAAAGAAGTGTTTAATTGTTTGTTTTTTGTTAGGAATTGTTGTAAAACTGCATTGATAATATAAGTATAAATTTTGTGCCAAAATTTTTCTAGTAATATTGTAATATCTATTTCTGCAGAAATTTTGTGTTAGTGCATGTTAGAGTTAATTTGATTTGAAAAATCTTTTTATTTTTCATTAGTTATTGCTTTATAGTTAAAAGTTCTATGTTTGCATTTATTTTCTTTCTAGGTTTGTTTATTGCAAAAGAAAAAGGTCCATTATGCTATAAGCATTTGATAATCACTATTAGTGATTTATGATAAGTTATTAATATAGAATCTATTAAGAAATAGGATTGTGTATTCACTTGCCCATATGTAATCAATTCTGCTAATGTATCAACTACTTTGTCAGATAGCATCAGTATTATTAGTGTAATTTGCCAAGTCATACATATTAATATTATATAAATGGTTTAGTAATTGATATTTAGCTGCATTTGATATAGTAGTTTGAGTTGATGAATTGAAATTACCAAGAATAATTATATGTAATTGTAGCTAAAGTGCTTGTTGTATCTATGTGATAATAAAGAATTGAGTCTGTTGGTAAGCAAGATTGTTTGTTGATAATAAGTATGTTAAGATTATTCAAAATTTGTAGTCATGTTTAAAAAAGAGGTCTATTGCAATAGCCTTACTGAGATGGTTAAGAATGTTATAAATATATAGTTGTAAGTTATTTTTAATCATAATACATATTTCTTCTTTAGATATAGAGCAGTTTGATCAGTAATAAGAGAATTGATGATTATTGTAGAACTTTTTGTTTTTGGTTTCAGTTAAACTGATTATATATAAGTTATTTTGAAAGCAATATTCTTCCATTAAGAGCTTCTTTTCTGAATTATTAAAACCTTGAATATTGTAAGTTGTAATGTTTAAGTTGAGTAAGAGGTTAGATGAGTAGTTTGTGTAAGATCTTGTTGGAGATGATGGTGGTGAAGGAATAGGAAGAGATAAAGGTTGTTGAAGTGCTATTGGAGATGTAGAAGATAAGTTTGGTATTAATGTTATAGTATATTGATTTGTTGAGTTAAGAAAGTCATCTTCTGTTGTATATAATTTTAGTAGAATATTTGGATAATGCCAAATAGCTTGAAATAGTAGAATAAAATGATTAGATAAAGGTTTGTGTTCAAATGAGAGATAGACATGAGCTTCACTATAATCATTTTTAATAGAAATAGTTAAAGTATAGTCATAAGCATTGCTTGGTAAATAATCAAAACTATGAATATGTTATAGAAAGGAGATAATTGTTTGTAGGTGTGGAAGTAGTAAAAGGTAGTTGTAAGCTAGGAATTTATTGTAACATGTATGAAGTTGTATGAAGCTAAAGTGTTTATTAGTAATAACAGTATTATCATAGTCAGATAAGACAGTTTCTATTAGTTGTATATAAGTATAGTTTATAGCATTATCTTTAAGAATAGGTTTGGTATATTGTGTATTGTTAAGTACTAGAAAATATTTAGAAGAAATAGATATTGATAGGTAATATCTATAGCTAGATCATTATGAAATGAAGTAGTCAGATAAGGGTTCTGGTTCATTTGATAAGTGTATATATCATTCACTATAGTCTAGTTTAATTGATATTGCTAATGTAAAGTTGTAAAGATTGAGTAGTGTATAATTGTAAGAATATATATGTTCAAGAAAGAAATAAAAAGTTTGTGGATATAGAAGGCCTAGATAGGCTAATCATTTATTATGAATCTAATATAGTCTGGGAATATACCAAATTTGGAAATCAGGTTCTAGAAGGATCTACAAACCAGTTCATGCATTTGATTGGTCACCACACTTTTTTTTTATGCATGTATTCATAACAGGGTTTTACAATATTTCATATATTTATTTGTTACTAAACGATATATGAATTGATAATAAAAGCAATAAATCTCAATAATCCCCAATAATCCCGTAAAATAAGTTGTCCTTAAAAAGGTAAATGAGACCATAAAATTACTATTGTTTCTTGCATATTGTTAAGTGAAAAGAAAAAAAAAAAAGTATTTTTATTAGTACACTAATACGATGAGTTGAACAAATATTGCACAAGAGTAAAACGAATATAGCACAAGTAAAAACAAACATATCAGTAGTAAGATAGTAAGAATGAACATTGTATGATAGTGAGAGTGAATGTAGTATGATAGTTGGAACGAATGCAACATTATAGTAGAATGAACATAGAACAATAGTTAGGGTGAACATAGCTAAATAGGTAGAGTTTGATAGATTCATAATGTAGCATAAGTGTTTTATAGATTTACAAAGCTTAATACTAGTACGAGGTTTTATAGCAGTTAGCATTATATTCTTAATATTGTAAAGATTTTCCAAACATAAGCCTAACTAATTTTATTAAATATTAACTCATTACATAAATTAAATAAATTTTAATTACATATATTATTAAGTACAAACATTTTCAGATATATAAAATAAAATACATTAATCTAACACAAATCATACATATTGTATAGCTTGTATTGCTTATTTTCTATTTACTAAATGCCTAACCCTAACCTTAGTTCTCATCTTAACTCTAAGCTAACCCAATGCTAAAGCCAATGTGAAAAAGCCAACAGCAAATACAAACACAACAAAAACATCACTAACGGCACCAAAGAGTAATGTATAATAGTCATCTATTCCGAATAATACCTGTTACCTAAAATGAAGAGTTAGCATATACATGAATATGACAATTAAACTGATAAAAAAAAAAAAAAAGCACACAACCTAATGCCAAATGCATTCCCAAATTGCTTGTAATTGAAGAACTTGAAATCAACTGCCAGCTGAATAAAACCTGAAGCTATAACCTAAAGAAAGAACAAAGAAAATAATGCAACAAATCGAAAGACATAAGAAACTTATCTGTACTCTCTCAAATCTGAAGAATCAAAGCCAAACCATTCAAAAGAAGAAATCCGAAGCTGTAACCAGAAGAAAAAGTGAAAGAAATTTTAGTACTATAATACAACAAAACAAAAGACAAGAAAAAAAAAAGAACCAAAACTTATATTACGTATGATCTACTGCCGATTACATTCTCAAATCTGAACTCAAAACCTAACCACTTGATGAAGGAACCTAAAGCTATAGCCTGAAGAATGAAAAAAAGGTTAGTACTATAATATAACAAAACAAAAGACAAAAAAGAGAACAAAAACTTAGCTGTATACAATCGAAGAACATGAAGCTCAACCGTTTAACAATGATGATACCAAGATGACAATTATGACACCAACGAAGATGCCAATGAAGACATCAATGGCAACACCAACTACAACACCAATGATGAAGTGACACTAAAAAAAAAGTCAATTAGTAAAAAGAAAACAATACAAAAAAAACTACAGAACTAAGTAAAAAAGCTTTTTTACTTAACGATTTCAGGATTTGCAATCATGCTTTGGAAATTTTCAGAATCTATCAGTTGATAATCTATTTCCATAAAAGGTGTGATCGATGCTATCTATTTATGGTATATTCCCAAATTGTAATAGTGTATTGTATGATAGGTCTTGTGATGTTTTCTTGAAGTAAGATGATACAATGAGGTTCAATAAGGTAAAGAGTTCCTCTGTAGATTTACTCACTATATGCTCAGTTCTCACAGCTGTGAAGGGTGCCATAGCCTGCTCTGTATATTGAGTCTGGCCATAATAATCTTGGTTCTTTATGTAAATAAACTTCCTACCTGTCTACTTATATCATTCTTTTCTAAGAATAGTTTACAAGAAGTGAAGAACATTATAATCTTAGAAGTGATAGCTGCATTAATGTATTCTACAGAAAAATTTATTGAAAAAGAGTATTAGTAAGGAAAAGTGAATCTTCAAGATTTGTTGGTTCTTGAAAATTTAGCTTGAATTTGTTTTGGAGGATTTTTTCTGTCTTTGGATATGCCTTTTCTTGAAAATGCTTAACAATTTCTGAAAAATTCATAAAGACATCTTTGGTATCAAAATAGGTTATAACATAAGCTAAGTAGTTTGTATCAATAATTTTAGTTGTAAGAAAATCAATAGCTTGTTGTCAATTAAGTTTGTTAATATTATGATTTTGTGTAGCAATGTTTTAATAGGTTTTTAAATATTAATAAAAGTAATAGCTTCATTGTTTAGAGTTTGTTTTAGTTTGATTATTGGTACATATGAACTCTTCAGCTTTGGTTGCAAGATTATTAAGAAGTTGTGTAGAGATTTTTTCTTTGAAAATGGCTTTATGCTTGGCATTAATATAAAAAATTGAAGCATCAATATTGGATTGTTTCTAAATTTCACTTTTAGTTTTTGAATATTCTGAGTAAGCTTCATTCAGAATTTCTTTAAGAAGGTTGCTATAGTTATGTATGTATTGGTAATCAGATTGGTTGTTGCTAAGTGTAGTCTTTTTTGCTTGTTTTTTTTTTCTTTTAGTTTTATCAAGATGTATACAGTCAGAGTCAGTATATGTATAGATATGATAATTTGCATATCAGATAGCCTCATTGCATTGTTGTTGGTGATTGTGAAATTCAATGAAGAAAATTTCAGTTAGAAGAAGTTCTTTAATATGTTTAATGAATTGTTGTCAGAATTGAAACCTTAATGTATTTTTAAGTTTAGGTTCATTAAGAGATTTAGTAAATTGGCAGTTATATAAAGAAAAGAATTTTGTAAACTATTCATTAAAGTGATCTACAAAATTATTAAGTAATGAGATGTTGTATTTTTCAAGAAAAAGAGTTTTAGAGATATTAAAAAAAAGGTGAATGTTAAATCAGTTGTCTATTTTAATATTTAGATATTGTTCTTCTTTGTCAGTTGTTGTTACAAATGAGCTAACAGTAAATCTTTTAGATCTAAGTTTAATATTATTAGCAAATTTAGTGTAATTAATGGATTAGTAATTATTAGATAAGTAGAGATGCAGCCTGGCAAGATTAATACAAAATTGTAATTAGTTTTGAGTTCTATATGGAGGAACAGTAGCAGAAGATGCAAAAATTTCAGAATAATTAAATTTGGTAAATAAGATAATAGTAAATTTGTATATAAGTTTTTTAAAACTTTCTTCCAGAATGTCAAAAGAAATTGTAACCTCATGATCAATATCTAAATTGGTTTTAAAGATAATATTTAAAAGAAATTTAGGTTGAGTTCTAGCCATTTGGCAAATAATATGATAAAAGCTAGCAGTAAGAGCTTTTTTGTTTCCAGTAGCTGGCTTGATTTCTTTTTCTGGATAAAAGTCAAAAGTGTTGTTTAAGGAAGTTAAATAATTCACAAAAAAGTTGGGTTTGCAGTTTTGTATTATTTTTTATTTCAGTTGTAATTGGAAAGTTAATTAACTAGTTAAATATTGAGTTTGCTTTAATTTTTGTATTAGGAGATAGTAATTGATTTTGTTAAGATTGTTGTTGTTGTTTTTGTTATTGTTGCTATTGTTGTTGTTGTTGTTGTTATTGTTGTTGTTGTTGTTGCTGTTGTTTGTTGTTTGTAGATGTAGTATCATCAATATCTATATCTATATTATTATTAATTTGGTTATTATCTAATAGTGTTAGAGAATTAAGTTGAGAAGTAAGTAGATTAGATTGTTGGTATTTAGTGAGTATTTGTCAGAGTTTGTTAGCAAAAAGTATACTTTTTTTTAGAGTCTTGTTATGTATTTTTAGTAGAAAGAATGTGTTTGGAGCTTTTAGAAGAGCCTTGTTGAAAGTTAAGTTAGTTTTTAATATAAGATTTGTAATAAGGTTTGTCATTAAAGAATGTAGTATCAACTGCTAAATAATGCTGATTATTAGTTAGTTTGCATATAATAGGTTGGTTGCAGGTAATGCAGATATGTTAATGTATAGATGATGAAGGTGATGAAGTTGAAGATGGTGATATAAATTCAGTGAAGTTAGCAATATTTGTTGTAATTTGTTTTTTGTTTTTAGATTTTTTAGTAGATTGTTCAAATTTATTTTGTTCATATGTTAGGTTTTTTTGTAAAAGGAAATTAGTATGAAACTTGTCACAAATGCAAGTAACAATGCTACCCTTATGAAAAAATATATACAAAAATAATAAAGAAAATTACAAATAATATACTGAATAGAATATACATATACTGAATAATAAGTTTATATAATAAATTAATGCTAAATTATTCTACTGAGTAGATATAGAACCATATTTGATATAAAATAAATGCTGAATAGTTATACTGAGTAGGTACAGAACCATATTCAATACAAAATAAATGCTGAATAGTTATACTGAGTAGGTACAGAACTATATTTAATACAGAATGAATGCTGAATAGTTATACTGAGTAGGTATAAAACTATATTCGATATAGAATGAATGCTAAATAGTTATACTAAGTATATATGAAACTATATTTGATACAGAATAAATGCTGAATAGTTATACTAAGTAGATACAAAACCATATTTAATACAGAATGAATGCTGAATAGTTATACTAAGTAGGTATAAAACTATATTTAATACAAAATGAATGCTGAATAGTTATACTGAATAGGTACAAAACCATATTCGATACAAAATGAATGCTGAATAGTTATACTGAGTAAGTATGAAACTATTTTTAATACAAAATAAATGCTAAATAGTTATACTGAGTAAATACAAAAATAAAATTAATTATAACATGCTAAAGAGAACCTAAAATCAAGTAGTTGTTATATAATTATAATTATATACAAAATAAGAAATTACTATATATTAAATAAATATATTGAAAATATTTAAATTTATTTTAAAATTATATTATTTTTTTTATCTAATATATAGTATTTATTATTAATTTTAAAGAACTCTATATATCTTTTAATAGCTTGTACATTAATAAATTCTTTACAACCAAAGTACCAAAATTTTTTAATTACAAATTTATGTATTTTTTCATCAGAAATATTAGTCCATTCAATATATGCAAGCATTACACTTGCATTATTATATTTATAAACAAAATGCTATAAAACTCTACCAAAAAACTGCTTAATTATAAGTCTTTTAGTTTTTTAATTTTGAATAGATACTTTTAATTCACACTATAAAATATTAAAATAATACTTAAATATAATTTTAAAATATTATTAAATTATTATTTAATTATAATATAAATACTA